GTTTAGTACCTAATTTTAAGACTTCTTCTAAAGCTACAGTAATCAAGGCAGTGTTGGTGTAAGGAAAGACATATAGATCATAGGAATAAAACAGAGAATCTAGAAATAGAACCACACATATATGGTCCACTGAGTTTTGAAAGATTATTTAACATTAGCATTCTATAGAATATAATATCCTTTCCCTTTATAAGAATCAGTATTTCCCGCTCTTTATGTCCCCTTTGGTAATCCTTACAAATAGTATTCAGGGTGAATGTGCATATGTGGCTTGTAGGTGGAAACAATCTCATTACTTTAGAGTTCTGTATACCATAAAATTTTATTAATATTGTGCCAACTGGCAGGAAGGAGGAGGAATGAGAGAAGATAATGCTGCCCTGGAAAAGTAAAATGCTAAAGAAACAAAACTCAGCCCTTCTTGGTTTTCTAACATCAGTGTGTCAACCATATAGAAAGCAGTTCAAACTATTGTTCATAAAATGCATAACTAAACGTCTGCATACTATGCAGACTGAAGAAAGACATTTCAGAAGACCTCTTTCCCTACAAGTTCATTTAGAAAAACAATTTTTTAAACTAGAATTAAATTATTTTTACTTACCAACTAACCTAACTTTGGTATTCTCCAAAATTATAGAGTTGTTTATTTCAGAAATAAATTTCCCCGCAGACAAATTTGCCTGTTCTAAAACAAGAAAATATGCTCTATCCACTAAGCAAGGTCCAAATGTTATTAATCTAGATGTGTGGTTGCTTTCAGTTAACCTTCTGATTAATATTCACTTCAAACACCATATGGGTATCAAAGTGGACAGCCTACTAAATAACACTACTCAGCCCACATTTCCATCATCTCCATTTGAATTAAGAGATTTGGGATGGGATTAGCAAGATATGACAAAAAAGCCAGATCTATGCATTATTCTGTGATGGCTTGGTTCTTAAATGCCTGCCTAAGGTGCACATACTAAAGGCTTTGTCACCAGCCTGTGACGCTACTGGGAGGTGGTACAACCTTTGGTGTAGATGAGGTCTAGTAGAAGGAAGTTAGGTCATGGAGGGGGGTGATATCCTTTAAGAAGTTATTGGGACCCTAGCTCCTTGCTCTTTTCTTCCTTGCTGCCGTGAAGTGAGCAGCTTTGCTCTGTCATTGCCTTGATGCTATCACACTACAGGCCCAAAATCAATGGAGTCAAGAAACCCTGGACTGAAACCACTGAAATCATGAGCCAAAATAAATCTTCTTCCCTTTTAAGTTGGTTATCTCGGTACTTTGTCACAGCAACCAACAGATGAGTAGCACATATTTTCTTACTGGCAAACTCTCAAGTTTTATCATTTTTCTACATGTGTTACTCCCATCCGTCGTTAGCTGCCTGAGGTTGAATTCACTTGGTTGCTTGTAAAATGGGGAAATTCCTAATACAGTGCCAAGCAAGTTGCCCCATCTGACATGCTACCCAGACACTGGAAAAATGATTGCCCTTCATATGCAGGATACATACAATGTATTGTATGTAACACATAATGTATTGTAAAGAATTGTTGGGGAAAACCATTAAATTGCCTGTCAATTCTTCCCATAGGGATGTGAAAGTAACCTGGCTCACATTCAGTTAATGATCATATTCTAGTGAACTAGACTATTATTATATCACACTGATGAAATAAATACCAGTGGTGCCATTTTTTAAGGCCACAAAAATGTTGCCATTGGCATACATGCCTGCTCCTTAGCCAGCAAGGTGAAGTTACAGAATGGTGGGCTCAGACTAGGTAATCACTAACCAGAATACATTCTAGGTTATCATGGCTTCCCATGGAGTTTTTATGACTGTGAAAGAGAGATTTCAACACTCAAATTACCTTGACTTCCCCCTAGAAAAGCATATTCTGTTCCTGATTCAGATATGAGAACTACTCAGAGCTTTGAGGCTAGAGCCGAGGAACGTGCATTTCAACAAGTCCCCAAGTGATTCTAATGGTCATTACAAGGACAGACGCCCTGGACTGATGCAGAGTATTTCAATCTACAGGATGATTCTTTAGTACTATATGCAAGTTTCATAAAGCCAGACCCCAGGCATCACCTTCTGTGTTCTCTGACATATGAGCCACCTGAAACATCAATGCTCTGCCCACCTCACCTGAAATTCCCACACTGCCCTTCAAGTTGGCTTCAACCAATCCTCTACCAAGGAGGCACCAACTTCCTCATTTCTCTGGATGCAATTAGAATCTTGATTCCAATCACTAGTTTATTTTTTTAAAAATCACATTACTATACATTGTTCCTTTCTTCTGCTCTAGTTTTCTGTAAAGAAAAAAAAACATTTTTAAAGGAAATAATGTGCATTCTACTAAATATAATTCCCTTTCTCTCTTCCTCTTAGACTAGTTCCTGAGCTGCCAAATGAGGATTGTTACACAACACAGATATCTGTCCATGATAAATGAGAAAGAGACAGAGCAAAATGAGCTGTAAAGTGAAAACATCAGATTTTCTCCTGCAATACTGGTAAAATGCCTTTGGAATCTTATACAGTAAAATCTAGGGACTCCTTATGAAAATTAAATTTTAAAAAAAGAACATAAAATGCTTCATCCAGCATCCAACACAGAGCAAATGCTCCATACATCCCCAAAGCTGGAAAAGTGCTTTGAATTAATCTGTTAAAAACTTCTTTTCTACAAAGGAGAAAAACCAAAGGTCTAAGAGTTAAGAGTTTTATCCAGAGCCAAAACAGCACCAATGTTTTTTAAAGCACAATCCAATATTCTTTCACCACTCCATAATATTTTGCTCACATCCCAGAAATGCAGGGATAGGAAAGCTACAAGCTTCCAAATACATGCCAGTCATCTCAAAGGTATGATTTATACCTAAGCAGACCTGCAGGACTAAATGACAGAACAGGAGGCTTGGGGTTTCCAATTTTGAGCCTGTTAAAGGAATCCAATAAGCACATAGCCATTGTTTCCTTCTTTTCTGTGGTAGAGGGAGGGCAGTTAGCTGCATTGTGGGCAGCTGCTTTTGTTTCTATTTTATTCAGCCACCTTACACACAACTATTATGCAATATTTGAGGTTTTCTCTGGTGCAAATAACCTATAAACACAAAGGCATTGAAAAGATTTAAATTCCTAGTCACTTAAGGTGGGTTGGGTGGTAAAGAATCCAAAGATAAGCTACTCTCCTTATTAGACAGATTAAACTGATAGTTATGTGTATGAAAAAGAGCAATTGATGACTGTAATTTTTTAAAATTTTGAACCCCTTGTAAAGTTCATTTTTATACAATTCCCATACACTTATTCCTTATTAATTCTCCACCCTTATCTATTTATAAAACTGAGAATACTACAAATAATGTCCTAAAGTAATAATAAGACAATGCTAGGGCTCTTTGCTTGATATCACCTCAAATTTTTTATAGCCACATTGGCATTCTGTCCATGAAACATGAGTATAGAGATGACTTCATTCTCTAGGATGAAGGATAATTGTTCTTAACCTTCCTATCACTTTCCTTTAACTCAAAGCACTAAAGCAATTGAAGGCACAGATAAATAAAATGTAGGAAAAGAGTGACATTATGAAAGCCTACCTCCAAATTACCTCCAAAAGGCACAGTACAATATGTTTCAGGATTCCAACTTATTAAACTCCTGTCCCACAGCTTGGATGAAAAGCTACCAATATTTTTTTAAGAAATTCAAACTTTGAAGGACATAAGGTTTTCCTTCTCTAATTATTTTAGGAGGAGAAAAAAGCCCAATATTAAAACCCCAACAATTACAAATGAAACACTGTTTAATGCAGATTATTCATTTATATTACAATTATTAGTGATGTTTCTATTACCAGGAAACTAAGACACAAATAACTTATATAACAGAACAGTAGCACTATTGGAAACCTCATTTGACTATGTCAAGGAGCTTCTTCACGAAGATAGTTACTATTCTTATCTCTTGCCATTCTCTTTTTTTTTTCCTTCACTGATGATATTTGCCATACTGTGTCCAGAAGTGTGAACATCTTTGAAGTTTGGCCTGGTAATTTAGCCATACTTTTTTCAAATACAGGTCAACCGTGGGAGAAAGCGGAAGTTTTACCACATTTTTCCAAATCGGGGTCTAAAGGAAAGAGCCTGCAGATTGTCAAGTTAGATTCAATATTTCCCTTTTCAAAACAAATGATTAGCAAAGTTATCCCCACCTTTGCTTTTTCTCTTTTAAGTAATTACAACCACACCCTGGGGGCAAGGTGATCAGGAGACCATACATCTGGCACACACACTTCCACCCAAGGCTCGTGCACAATCGTGAGCGCATGGGCGCTTATAACTAACACACACACACACACACACACACACACACACACGCACACCAGAAAACACAAAGTATCCAGGAAGCCGGAGCTCAGCACTTTGCATAGAAATCGCCCCCTCTGCCAACCTTCACACAAATACACCTGGCTATTTAAACTTGGGGACCAATATACTTTACTGGTAACTCTGTGGTGGCCACAGGCACACTACACAAGACAAACTCGCATCTCGCCCACCACCCCTTCCCTCCTTCTCCAAGAGGCAGGGACGCCTCCCCAAGCCCAGCTGGCTCCGTGCAACCCGCGGTGTCGCCGCTGCCCCGCCGCCACTCACCGAGTCTGCAGGCGCAGTAGCCCCAGTCCACCTGGCCACGGGCGTTCGCATAGAAGCACCAGGGTCTGCTCTTGCCGTCCAGGCTCCAGCAAAAGTTGTGTCGCTGTCCTCGCAGCTGAGCCCAGCTAGCCGGGGGCGACCGCTCCAGGAAGGGTGGCACCTCCGACCAGCTCAGACACGGGGCGCCCAGGTCCGTCACGTTAGCCCCGGCCTGCCCGGCGGGACAGCCCCCAGGGTGGGACCGCGACGAGTGTCCAGCCTGGAGCGCTTGCGGACGAAGGGCAGGGACTGCCCGCCGGGGGCACAGGGGTGACGGAGGCGTCCGGTAGTCGGGATACTGGGCACCCCCACGGGGCGAATGGCGGTGGCGGAGGCACAGCGGATAACCGAGGATCGGATCAACGCTGACCACTTCGGGGAGCGCCCCCAACATCAGAGCCAGCAGGAACCGAGCGAGCGTCATGATGCCAGCGCCGAGAGGTCTGGTCCATGCTCCCAGCTCGGGGTTCTGGAGGGAGGCGGGAGGGGCGGGGCGGGCGGCTGCGTCCTGCTGCTCCGCTCCCACACCCTCCCCACTCGCGCCCGGGAGTGCGCCGCCTTCCTGCTCGCCTCACCTCTGCTTTGCGCGCCCCTCGGGGAGCTGGGCCGAGACCGGGCGGGGGATCCTGCGCTCCGCCGGGCCGGGCAGCAGCGGCGGGGCTCGCGCCCCGGTAGTCTGTGAGGCTGCAGCCCGGGAACTCTGCCCCCTGGCTGCGGGCGCGGGTCGCGCAGTGTCACCGGAGGGGGCCCGTGGAACCGCTGCTGGGAGCTCCGGGCCCTCCGTGCCAAGGCCAAGCCCCGCGGTGCCCACGCGACGATCCCGGATGCCCCTTGCCAACAGGCGGGACCGCCACAGCCCTGCTTCTGGTGGCTCCCCAGTCTGGCACCAGTCCTGGCAGTCATTCCTCCACCCCGTCTCGTGCCTCGTTTTCTGTTTTGAAATCTTTAGGAAACTGAATGGAATTAGGTGCGACTTTCCTTTGACAACTCCCAGGATAAAAGGCATCAAAGCCCACAAGGAATGTTAAAGTCGTTTTGCTGAACTGGGAGCTCTTCAAGGACAAGGGGACGTCGTCTTCAGCTTCATATCCCTGTGCTTAACACCGCGCCCCAATAAACAGTGGCCGAAATTAAATTCCTTTACCGAACCAGAGAAAGGAGCTTGAGCCTTTCTACTTCCTGCCTCCCACTCTCCACCCGGTGCCCTGGGCACCACCAGTTGTTTGGTTATTATTGGCATCAAGTGAGGCTCTCTTAATACCAAATTTCCTCTCTAACCTGAGAAGATTTCATCCCTCCTGGTTTCCATCCTATCCAGAAAAGTCCTGTCTTGTTTTAGCAGTGCAAAGGTCTTGAATTAATCCTCTTTATTTACCACTCCAAAGTTGATTCTGCCTGTGATCATTTTACAGCTCCAGTGGCTTGACCTATCCTAGCTGGGCCCTTCCAACACTTGCCCCCATCACTGCAAGAACTAACTTTTCTTAGAAGTTTAAAACATTAACTGGAACTATCTGTTTTAGGATTTCTCACCTTTCAGTTGTTCCTGACTGTGCCTCTAAAGTTACATAAGGAAGAGGAAGCCTATACACAAGGCAATATTTTGCTTTCTTTCTTGATCATGTTTCATCATGGGCGAGGAATACTGTCCTACAACTTAAAATACCATGAAGAAAACCTGAACAGAATTTAAAAGTTTATTATTAAAATCTGTTTCAATAAGAAGTAGAATTCACTACACCTAGCTTTTGAGAATCCATTTTTGTTTAAATTTTGTGAATCATCTTATTGGGAATTTTTCACTCCTGTTACTCTTTGATTCTGCTTCATAGTGAATTGGATAAAGGAAATGGAATTATGAATCCAAGAATATGTCAAGTTTTTATCAAAATGTTTTTATTCAAGATGCTTTTACCCATTATTTTGTATTTTATGAACACTTTTTCTGGCTCCAAAAGCACAGTTGAAGCTGTAGAACAGAGTGAAATGTAAAACATGTACAGGGAGATAGTTTGCCAATCACAGATTCCTGACCTCGAAGATGACAGGTTAACTGGAGTGAGCCCTTTTCCTTTCCAACTGTTCCTTCCCCCTTAGGCTACACCTGATGGTCCAGGTGAGCTCATCTGGGATTCAGGCTGGTTTGCTTGGACCCTGCACACCTTTGTTTCCTACAACCATTGATTTCATACTTGCTGGAGGTCTGTGGACTCAACCAAGTCTCACACATCTATGGATCTTGCAGAGTGGGAAATAATGAGAAAGAAATGAGTGAAAGAGAAGGTTGTTGGAACTGAGCTCCAGAGAGAACCAGAGCCTTAGGCCAGATCCAACCTTTCCTCCAGCTCCCTGTACCAAAGAAGAAGTAAAGATCCTCCAAGGCTTCCTTACGTTTAACAGACTGTAAAATTGATACATACAAAGTTGAATTATCCACAGAAAATCTGACCTCTAGATTTCATCATTTAAATTTTAAAACATATCTTTGTTAGAAAATAAAATGGCATTTATGCACTTGGGCCACAGATTTTAAGGACCTCAATTTGGGTTTTATCTTTTATTTCACAGGCAAAAATGGCTTAAATAGAGCTATTCTTTACATATTACTCTCGTCTTCTGCTAATGTTTTCCATTCATCTCTTCTTTCACTCCTTGTTGTTACCAACAAGCAGATGTTTAGGATTTCCAAATCCCACTCCGAGCCCTGAAATGCAGTCCCCCATCACATCATGGTAGGTTAGAGCTAGGAAGATTTTCAGCAAGAAATCCTTTTTGCCTTCTAACATTAGGCCCCTAACTAGCCACATCCCTCCTCCAATTCTTACCATCCTCTATCATAGATAACAAAGTCAAAGGAGAGGGGGAGCAACTCCTTGAAAGAAACTATAAGAAACCCACAGCTGGTTTTGTCTCTGCCTGCCCTTCCCTTCAGCAACAACCAAAGCACAGGGAAAGGGAACAGAAAGGAACACATGACATCTTGCAGACACTTCACCACAACTGGAAGTCCCCAAGAGGCCCCCAAATCCTATTTTGTCACCTCCTAGTCCATCAAGCAAATTCATTGATTTGGAGACCAAGACTCCAATTTCACCAGCCTTATAGCCCATTCGGGTGGAGCCTAGATCCAGAGCCACAATTGGAACCAGAGGAAACTGAGGAGAGGACTCTCCCTTTCCATATCACAGGCGAGAGGGTGGACAGTCTTGGGGGTGCAAATGGGGTACAGCTACCTCTGCATGTCTGCAGTTCCTATGGTAACTGTTAAAAGGAACCATTTGTGGGGCCAGGGATGTAGCTCAGTGGTGCCCCGCTGGCCTGCCAAACACAAGGTCCTGAGTTCAATTCCTGGTGCCAGGGGTAAAAAAAAAAAAAGTAACCATTTGGTTCAATGGGGGTTTACAGATCCATTTACTGCATATAAATGTTGGGCCTAGTGGCTCTTGTGTAGTGTGGTTTGGAAATGTATCCAATACTTATATTATTTTTACAGAGTTCCAAAAATTAATATACAAAATAACTTTTAGAAAAGGCCCATTTACAATTTAGGTACTATTTGTATTTGGAGAAGTTCATAGCCTTTAGATATATAGCACAAAAGCAGTGTTTAATTTATAATTCCAAGTGCAAAAAACTTGTTAAAAGAACACGGAGCACTACTCTTTCACATCAAAGAGAGAAAAACATCAAATCATATTAGCCCCCTTGGGGGCTATGGGAGATTCTAAATTGTAAGATGTTGCCAGGATTTTAAAAGAGTGAAATACAATTATATGACAATATATCATTTAATTAAAAATTCAAGAAAATAAGAAGCAAATTGCCAGATGAATGGTACAGTAATTCAAGGTAAGACATCCCTGTTAGTAAGAGGTTTCTGACAGTAAGGTAAAGTTTATACATCTTCCTTGTATTATTCATTGTCTTTTCAGACAACCTCTCCTGAGCTGTGAAGATGTGGAAGATCAATGAGTACAGCAGCAGGCTTTCTGGGCTGTCAACTTTATCTATGGTGCTTAGGAGGGAGGTAAAGCATGCACTTGACTCATTGGGTCCATAATGTTCCTGAGTCTTTTAATCTCAGTTTTTCTTGTCATTTAAGGCTGAATTTACACTTGATCTTAGCCAAAAGGCTAAGAAGCGATAAGACTGAACTGATAAAGCAAAACAAAATGCTCTTTCAGTTTGAATTTACTTTTTAAAATTCACCTAAATTTGAATAAGTCTTACATAAAAATTAATTCTATGGGGCCAGGGATTTAGCTCAGTTGTTCCGGCGCCTGCCTCACAAGCTCGAGGTCCCGATTTTGATCCCTGATACCAAAAAAAAAATTAATTCTACAGACTCATATTCAGAGTTACCGAAATTATATGTGCTGGTAACTAATAGGTGAAGAATACACATATATCTACATCTATATCTATATCTATATTACTTTGCCTTTGGAATCAAATCTGTGCTCAGACTAGCTCTAGACCTTAATCATCATGGAGCATTAGACAAGCATTCCCGCTTCCTTTAGCCAGAGGCACCCAGTCTGTAAAACAAGGACAGTAATAGTACTTATATGATAGATCACTGTGAGGGGTAATTGAGACAATATATGGAAACTGAACAGGACCCATTGTAGCTGTCAACGGTGGTACAGTGGCATATTTTCAGTAACTGCCGGTGTGTCCTTAACCTCTCAAACTAAGTCGCCTGTGAAAACCTCCCTCAATGTAGCAGATTTCTCTCCCTACTACACTTCAATTAATTCATCCTCTAAGTTCTGCTCACTTAAGCTCTTATGTTCTGTCTTCCTCTCAATAAGTTTTGTCCTTAAAAACCAATGAAATACTAACTATTGCAAGTAAAATGTTCTTCCTGAAGATTTTGCCTAAGCATAAGGAGTGGTTCCAAATCCCCCAGCTTTACGGTTACAAGGGGGCTGTAGCCACAAATGAAAAGAGTAAAGAGATAGAAAGAAAAGCAGCACGTAAACCTCTTGCCAGTAATGTTGGAAACACAGAAAATCTCAGTGCTGAAAAGGATTTTCAGTTCCAACTTTCTGTCAAATGCACGAATCCTTTCCAGAACTTTCCAACAAGTGGATCTGCACCTTTTTCTTGAAAACTAATTGTGAAGAAATTCCTACTTGGAACAGAAAATTCCTTCTCTAGAAGTTCCAATTGTCCTCTGGTTAAACCCAAGAATGGACACATCCTCATTAAACTGTAACTCATAGAATTAAAAACAATGCCTCAGATATTATTTGAACAGTGTAGATTTCAATGGAAAAAATGTCCTTATTTCAAATTGCAAATTTTTTAACAGCTATGTAACATTTGGCTCTGATACAGCAAGCTCAGTTACCCGAACTCTTTTGTCAGCTTGATAGAACCCTTCATATCCTTTAAAGCCCTGCTCAAACCGTAAAATTTTTAGTAAAAACTCCTTGATGAAAAGAAGTATGCATTCCACAATGATTAGCCTGAAAGTGGCAGCCAGTAAACAATTGTTGAA